CTCCGAACAAGTGTAGTACTGCTCATACAAAGTTTCGAAGCGATACAATAAGAACTGAGCGAGTAGTCTGTGCCAAAAGTTGAAAATGCGAAACATGTTGCCAGTTGTTGGAGTCACTCTATATTACTTTAAAAGACGCTGTGAAAAAAAATTAATAAACATGTACTAGAGATGGCAGTAGAACGTGTCAGTTACTAGAAATAGCTACCCATAAGTATTACAAGCAACAAATTTGGCAAAAAGTTGCATTACCATTGTACAATTATATTGGCGGAGTTTCACGTATATCGGGATTTAAATGACAAAGAACAAGGCGGGGACCTATCTTAAATATTAGCCTATCCACGCTACTATTCAGTGCTTAAATACAATATCTAGAGTTGAACCTAATGCTGCTATAAGATCTGTTACACCTTAATCAAATATAGTCAACTCAGTTTGTCATATCCGAACATATTTCACGCTTATTGAAACTAAGGAAATTACCCTTACAATAACACTTACTAGCACATAACATCATTTCTTGATTCAGATGTCAAAGTAGTAAAACCAGGAAACCCTTAATTAAGCTACTTTACCCCAGAACAACTGTTAGACCCACAGTAAACTTGAATAGTATAAATAAGAACTACTCTTGATCAAATAAAAGATTAATCCAGTCTTACTGTATCTTATTGTCTATTACTATTTTTATATTATCACACAGTTTAAATACCTCAGCTTCTTAATATATAATTATAGATTGTGCTCCCATCTCTTTTCTCTTCACTTTATTCTAAATAAAGATACAACACAGCCTCATCGTATTTTCTATTTTGTTAAAATCTATCCAAACACAAATACAACAGGAGGTACTTTTAAAGTTGGTAGACATTTCGGTAGATGATACAAGTTTAATAACTGTATGAGCTATTATGGATAAAGGGTCATAAAATATAAAATATTATATGCGACTGTTTCTTTCCAGGGCGATTTAATCTTTTCGGTGAATTAGGGAAAAACAGCAGTAGCAGAAAATAAAAGTGCATCTATATAAAAATTTTTTATCCAATTTATTTATTATGCAATATTTATCTTTTTTATAAATAAAATATTTATTAAATTTATAATGCAATTTTTACTGTACAAAAAAAATATTTTATTAATCAATATTACGAACATATTTTATTAAATATATTTATTTTGGCGCACAAAAATATACGTGGGCATAAATTGAACATGGAATGTCTATTGTTTGTCTGAGTTTAAAATACATTACCAAACTCTTCAGTATATTCAACAACGTCAGCTCTTACTCCACGAACATGAGCTCATATATCCCGCTTTTTTAAAATTTACTTTTGTTCATTGGACAAAATAAAATAATACAATGCACTCTATTTTGCCCAGTACAAAGATAAGAGACAAAAACTAGTAAAAATAAGAATAGAAAAAAGGACAATAAGTCACTGAAACTGAAATATATGATAACTTTATTTACGATGAATAAAACAATGGTATTTATACTTTTCAACATCTACAATCAACAATGATAATTGGATATCATGAGCGTACCTATAAGCGTCCAGCTACAATGGGAATAACTGGGAAGAACCTAACTAGTATT